GGAAGTTGGGGGACACTGGTGGTGGAGTTTGATGTAATGGGGAGGACAGTCCCCATAACCCCCATCTTTGAGACATGCATTTGGGAAGGTGGGCATCAGGCGGCACCTGAGGTGGTCTCAGTGCTGCCCACCAGGGTGTGCCGGCCGAGAGCAGCAGGCGGTGTTATAGATTGGGAGCTGCCTCATCAAGTGGCTGAGGCTGTTTGTCATGTGCTCCACATTGCATAGAAAGCTCTGTTTCAACAAATGTCCAGAGTGAATATCTAGGGGAATGTGGGTCATTTGGTTCCACGCAGAGAGGCAGGCAGCTGGCTCGGAGGACATGAGCCTCTCAGAGTTTTGACCCCATGGGGCAGGTGGCAAAGAGGAGGCTGGAACCGTCCGAGCATAATCAGAGAAACAGCTCTGTGCATGGGGCCTGAGACCCTCTGCCATGTCATTTGAGGATGGATGATATTCATTGTAGGGGTGGAGAGATATTGATAAGGAGAGTAATGGGGAGGGAATTTTTAATAGCTTTGTAGAGGTATAATTGATATACAATAAGCTGCACGTGTTTAGAGTGTACAATATAAGTTTGACAAATGTAAAACCGTTGCCACAATCAAAATCGTGAACACATCTTTCTCCCTGAAAATGTCCTGGTGTCGTTTTGTAATCCCTTCCTTGCGTCCCTACACCATCTCCACAAAACCTGGGATCTATTTTCTGTCACTTTGTTTGCAATTTTCAGAATTTCGTATAACTAGCATCATACAGTATGGATATTTTTTGGAGTCTGGGTTTTTTTTGGCGGTGTTATTTTGTGATTCATCCATATTGTGTGTGTCAGTAGTTTGTTCCTTTTTATTGCTAACTAATACTCTGTCGTGTGAAGATACCACAGCTTGCTCATCCGTGTACTTGTTGGTGAGCGTTTGGATTGCTTCCCGTTTAGGCTGTGACACCAAGAGCTGCTGTGAACATTCATGTACAAGTCTCTGAACGCGTACCTTCCCTTCTCTTGGCGAATGCTTAGGAATAGAATGGCTGTCTCGTATCAAAAATGTCGTCGTCTGCCCAGGCTGCCATAACAAAAATACCATGGATTGGTTGGCTTAAGCAACAGAAATCAATTTCTTATGGTTCTGGAGGCTGGGAAGTCCAAGATCAAGGTGCCAGCAGATTCAGTTCCTGATGAGGGCTCTATTCCTGGTTTGCAGATGGCCACCTTCTTGCTGTTTGCCCATGGCAGAGAGAGAAAGAGGATGAGAGAGAGAGGACACAAGCTCCCTCATGTCTCTTCTTATAAGAGCACTGAGGGCTCCACCCTCATGACCAGATCACCTCCCAGAGGCCCCATCTCCAAATACCATCACATTGAGGGTTAGGATTTCAACATTTGGATCTGAGAGAGGACACATATATATGTTCTGTTTATTGCCATACATATGTTTAACTTTTTAACTGCCAAACTGTGTTCCAAAGTGTATCATTTTATGTTCCTAATAGCAGTGATTGAGAGTTTAGTTGCTCTACAGCCTCACCAACACTTGATTTGGTCAGTCTTTTTAATTTTAGTCATCTGAATAGGCTTGTAGCAGTATCTCATTGTGGTTTTAATTTGCATTTCCCTAATAACTAATTATGTTTAGTATTTTTTATTTGCTTATTTGCCATCAGTAGTTGTTCTTCCCCTCCTTCCTCCCCTGTTCCCTCACCTCCTTCCTCCCCTCCTTCCTTCCTTCCCCTCCCTCCCTCCCTCCTTTCCTCATCCTCTTCCTCTTCCTCCTCCTCTTTCTTTTTCTTTCTTCTTCATCTTCTTCTTCTTGGATCTTACTTTGTCACTCAGGCTGGAGTGCAGGGGTGTGATCATGGCTCACTGCAGCCTCAACCTCCTGGCCTCAGATGACCCTCCTGCCTCAGCCTCCCAAGTAGGTGGGTCTACAGGCACTTGCTACCATGCTCAGCTAATTTTTAATTTGTTTTTTTTTTTTAGAGACTATGTTGCACAGGCTGGTCTTGAACTCCTGGCGTCAAGTGATCAGCCTGCCTCAGCCTCCCAAAGTGCTGGAATTACAAGTATGAGACACTGCCTGGCCCAGTATATCTTCTTTAGTGGAGTATCTGTTCAAATATTTTGTTCATTTTTAATTGAGTTTTTTGTTTTCAGATTATTGAGTTTTGAGAGTTCTTTCGTACATTATGGATAAAGGCTTTCATCAGATAGGTGATCTGTATGTGTCTGTTTTCCAGGGCGTGGCACTTTTTGCATTTTCCTAACATTGTCTTTCCAACTCTGGGAGTTTCTTATTTTGTTGAAGTTAATTTATTATTTTGCCCTTATATCAATTATTATTTTGCCCTTGTATCTAAGATTCTTTGCCTGACCTGACATCCCAAAGATTTATCTTAAATTTCGTGCAGCAGTTTTATAGTTTTGGTCCCTACATTTAGATCTCTCATCCATTCTTTTTTTGTTGTTGTTTAAATACGGTATGTGGTACGGACTGAAGCTATTTTCTGTTTGATTTTAGTATATGAGTATCTCCTTGTTCTAATATCATTTTGAAAAGATTATCTTTTTTGTACTAAATAAGTTACTTTTTTGGGCTTTGCTGAAAATCAGTGGACCTTATATGTATAAGTCTACTTTGGACCTCTCTTCTGTTCCATTGATCTATTTATGCATCTTCACGCCAGTACCACACTGTCTTGATTACTGTAGCTTTATAACAGGTCTTGGAGTCAGATGATGTTAAGTCTTTCCCTTTGGTTGTTATTTTTGTTTGTTTCATAGTTGTTTTGGCTATTCTAGGTCCTTTATACTTTCATATGCTTTCTAAAATCATCTTGTCAATTTCTTTTTTTTAAAAAAAAGCTGGCTGAGATTTTGATTTGAGGTTGTGTTGAATCTGTAGCTCAATCTGGGAAGAACTGAAATCTTAACAGTGTTGAGGCTTCTGATTCATAGTTATGGTATATCTCTTTCTTAAGTCTTTAAAAATTTCTCTCAGCGATGTGTGGAAGTTTCTAGTGTACAGGTCTTATATAGCTATTGTCAGATTCTTCCCTATTTCTTATTTTTATTTCTTGATGCTATTGCAAATGGCATTTAAAACTTTTTGAATTTCTAAATGTTAGTGGCTAGTATATAGAAACACAACTGATTTTTTTTTTTTTTTTTTTTTTTTGAGACGGAGTTTTGCTCTTGTTGCCTAGGCTGGAGTGCAATGGCGTGATCTCAGCTCACCGCAACCTCCACCTCCCAGATTCAAGCGATTCTCCTGCCTCAGCCTCCTGAGTAGCTGGGATTACAGGCATGCGCCATCACACCCGGCTACTTTTGTATTTGTAGTAGAGACGGGATTTCTCCGTGTTGGTCAGGCTGGTCTTAAGCTCCCAACCTCAGGTGATCTGCCCACCTACGTCTCCCATAGTGCTGGGATTACAGGCGTGAGCCACTGCGCCTGGCCCACAACTGATTTTTATATATTATTCCATCCTGCAATCTTGCTAAACTCCTTTATTAGTCCTAACAGCTTTTAGAAAAATCTGTTGAGGCCGGCATACGGTTTTTCTTCATCCATGTGTTATTTTAGCAAATTACACGGACTGACTTTCAAATGGCAAAGCAGCCTTGCAGTCCTGGGATAAACCCAGCTTGTTCATGTGTCTTATCCTTTTTGTTATTGTTAGAATTGATTTGCTAACATTCTGTTAAGAATTTCCACATCTGAGTTCAAGAGAGAACCTCGCTGGTCCCTGGCCACTGATGGTTTGGCTGGATCTGAGCAAGGGGGTCCCTCTCTCCCCATCGGGCAGGCTCATGGCGTACAATGTGGCCACGTAGAACTGCTCCATCAGGACCGGGCGCAGTGGCTCACACCTATAATCCCAGCACTTTGGGAGGCCGAGGTGAGTGGATCACCTGAGGTCAGGAGTTTGAGACCAGCCTGGCCAACATAGTGAAACCCCATCTCTACTAAAAATACAAAAGTTACCCAGGCATGTTGGCGGGTGCCTGTAATTCCAATTACTTGGGAAGCTGAGGCAGGAGAATCACTTGAACCCAGGAGGAGGAGGTTGCAGTGAGCCAAGATTGCGCCACTACCTTCTAAACTGGGCAACAGAGTGAGACTCCATCTCAAAAAAAAAAAAAAAACTGTTCCATCGGGGCTGTGGGTAGTGGTAGTTCCCACAAAAGGAGACTTTAGACAAGTGGGTACCCCAAAACACATCTCCTATACGTGTGTGGGCCTGGAATGGAAGGGTACCATCTCCCTTCTCCTTACCCTGAATGTCCTCCCTGCTCCTGGTGCTGCCATCCCATTGTGTGTTGGCGAGACCCCCCTATTGGGCTGGGATTTGGGGGGACATGTTGGTGCACACACCCAGGCCGTTCCCCCTCCTGAGGGACCCAGTGCAGATATGCACCAAGGGCCTGAAAAATATTCCTGCCTTTTGGTCCATGCATCCCTGTATTCAGACTCTCCTACAGAAATGCTCTGTGATGTGGAAATGGATGTATCCACAAAGATGTTCGCTGCAGCATTGTTTATTCACTGGAAAAAGATGGGGCTAGAACTCAAATTTCCAAGAGTAGAGGATTGGCTGAGGAAATGCCATTATGTCTGCTGAATGGAAGATCCCATAGCCATTAAAGGAGTGATTTATGAAGATCGTAGCGACATCACACCTTGTCCTTAAGTGAAAGTAGAAAAATAGGTTACAAAATTCTATATATAGCTGTATGAAAAATTCACTGAAAAGAGGAAGCCGACGTGTAACAAAGGGTAATTGATTTCTGGGCAGTGCTACTCTTTTCCTTTCTCTAGTTTCCAAACTTTCTGGAAGGAATGTCGATTACTATTGTGATATTTTTAAAATCATAATTAAGAAAGGGAAGAGTAGCATTTGCTGTCTCCAAGGCAGCTGCCCCCTGCTTGGCCAGGCTGAGGGCGACGGATTCGGTCTCAGCTGCTCGTCCCGTCTCAACGCTGACCTCCTCTATCTTTCAGGCTTTGGGAACGATCACTGCAGTGCCTGTCACGGGTCCTCAGGTCAGCTCCTTGCAGAGGTTGGCCGGGCAAGGAGCGGCAGTGCTACCTCAGGTAAGCAGCCCTCGGGCGGGCCCTGGGGTATCCGTCTGTCTGTCCCCCCAGTCTCTGTTTCTAACCCTTCAGCGCTGAGGTTTCTGGTGGGCACTGGGCCAGGCGGAACCCATGCCCTCTCAGCTGCAACTTCCCCTCTCACCTCTTCTATCCGTTCTTCAATGGAGACATTTGGACCAGATACATTTTTTCAGCAAGGAATTGGGAAATCAATTTAGTGGGTCATGACCAGAATTTTTTTAAATGGAATAAATGAGGCCAGACTAAAATAGAATGGAAATATCAAGATGCATCCTATGCCTTGTTTTTTGAGCAACTTGATTACAGACTGGGTGACTACATCATGTATGTTTTTGACTATGGGTTATGGTCAGGAAGTTTGAGACACTCTGGATGAGGGGATTCATTTCAAGGGCAGCTCAGACTCTGGGCCAGGTGCCCTGGTTTCTAGTGCAGGGTTCCCCCGATTGGACTCCACGCTTGGCCCCAGTCACCTGACCTCTCGGCCTTCCTGGGCCGAGGCTTCTCACCTGCAGAGGGACTGGTGCTGGCACCGGCTTCCTCCATCGGTGACTGTGAGGACTGAGTCAATGGTGGCTGTGAGTATTGAGTCAGGAGAAAACATTTGTAACCATGCCTGATACAGAGCAAATGCCAGGAAATTATTCACCGGTTCCCTTATTACCACAAGCTCAGCTTTGTTGAGCACCTGCTGTATACAGCATAGTGGGCCAGGGGCTGCCAGTGGTGAAGACCAAGATGACCCCTGCCTGTCATGGGACTTGGGGCTGGACAGACTCCCCCAGCTCGAGGATGGCGAGAGGTGGCTGCCCTGAGCACCTCTTCTGTGTGGCAACTTTCCCCAAGTGCCCACTTGAGCTGAATCAGAGTCTAAAGCAGGAGGGGCCAATCTTCTAATCTTTTGGTTTCCCTGGGCCACATTGGAAGAAGAAGAATTGTCTTAATCTGCACATAAAATACACTAACACTAACAGTAGCTGATGAAATAAAGGGGAAAAAATGTAAAAAAACTCTCATAATGTTTTAAGAAGGTTTGCGTTTGTTGGGCCGCATTCCAAGCCATCCTGGGCCGCGTGTGGCCCGTGGTTTGAACAGGCTTGGTCCAGATGGAGGACAGACAAGGAAAAAGATACTGTGAGTCCAGGGTGATCGGGCCTTGCCAGAAAGAGACACGGGTGGCGGCAGCCCTGAGAAGGCTTGCTGTACACCTGCGCGTCAAGGAAGGCTTCCTGGAGGAGGCAGTGCTTGAGCTAGGCCTCAGGGTGAGAGGACATTGCAGGCCGAGGTGGAGTTAGGCCCCAGAGGGAGCCCCCCAGGAGGAGAGTGCAGGGTGAGAAACAGAGGCAGAGGTGGTAGGGAGAGACCAGAGTCCAAGCACTGAGGGAGGGAGGATGGGGCAGTCCTGGAGGTGGAGAGGCCACTGGGACCCTTGGGGACCTTAGAGTCGGGCTTCCCCTGTCAGTGACCTGTGGGCAGCAGGGAGCTGTGCGAGGCTTCAGAGCAAGGCAGGCTCCAGGGAGAGGCTGCAAATCAAGGCCAGTGCTGTTTCCCTCTGGCCCACACCCACCCTTCCTCCTCTCTCCCTTCTGCCTCCTGAACCTCTGTCTCCATGTTTCTTCCTTGCTGTCTCTGCCCCACAAATGCCTGCACCTGCCGTTGACCTGCTGGCCTCCAGGACAGTCAGCTAAGGCCAGAAGGTGTCCAGCGCATGCCGGGTCCAACTGCCGGCTGCTGCTGTTCCAGGTGGCTCACGGGGAACAGAGTAGGCAGCCTGTGATGGGGCCAGCCTCGCAGGGTGACCACAGACCTGAGAAAGGAGAGAGGGTGGGGACAGGGTGGACCCGGGGGCTTCCTGGTCTGGGGCTGCACGCAGACCCGGAGACACAGGCAGAAAGGCTATAAGCTCCGGGTCCCTTGAAGGTGTTGTCTCTGGGGTGGCTCAGGCCAGATCCTGAGCTCCCAGCTGAGCTTAGTTTCTGTGTCTGGCATCTGTGATTGACACCAGCTCTCCCATGTCCAGAGTCTGCTTATGTAGGGTGGGCGGCCGGGGTCAACTGGAACAGGTGGGCAAAACCCAGATGACCAGGGAGGAGCCGACAGAACACGGAACGGCCACTGCCACAGCTGAGGTCCTCACTGACCACCATGTGGGCGTCCACCCGCCCCCACACCAGTCCTCTTCAGAGGCGGAGAACAGCATTTTTCCAACGGGTGACTGTCTCCAGCTGAGGCCTGGCAGGAACGAGGATTCTTTAAAGCCTTTGGTATTAGAGTTTGTGTTGGGCTGTAAGCCTTGCATGGGGGGGGAACAAAGGCCCTGACCTCTGGTGCCAAGGACAGAGTGACAGGCTTACCTGAACCCAGGCTGGTCACATCGCCTCCCTGTGGTGTGGCCAGGGCCCTGATGTGGGAGGCTGGGCTCCTTTTGCTGAGGACCCAGCATAGCAGGGGACACAGAGGTCACTAGACTCAAGGGCCAGCTCTGTGCCAGGCACTGGCAAGGAGCTGACAGACATGATGCCGTCCAACCGAAGAGCATGCTGTGCCTTGGTGACCTGCCCAAGGCCACAGGGCCCTGTAGGAGCCACCCTGGACCACTCTCTCCACATGTACCACTGGACACAGGGTGGGAGGAGATGGGCGGGGCAGCACAGCACTCTGTGCCCTTCACCGATGCCAGACAGGCCCTAATGATAACAACTGTAGCATCCTTATTACCCGTGAGTCTCCACTGCACACCTCGGTTTGCTCATCTGTAGAATAGGCCAGGACGGCCACCCTGCAGCGCGAATGCAGCGGGGCTCAGATGAGAAGGCAGGTCGTGCCCCTTCTCCTCGTCCCCTTGTCTCTCGGGGCATGATACTGGCCTGGACCTCCCAGGGTGGGCGTGTCCTCATGTGGGGCATGCGGCGCTCCTGGTTCCATGCATGCGGCCAGTGGTGGTGGCTCTGATGGGAGTTTCCACCATCAGAAACACAGCTGGGTGTGGGGGCGCTGGCGACAGCCCCCAGTCAGGTACACCTAGCACTTCCTGTGCGTTTTGTTTCTTCCAACCCCCAGTAAGTGTCATCACCTCATGCAGATGAGGGACCTGGTCCAGTTCAGGGGTGTCACTAGGACGCCAGAGGAGCCAGGATTGGGCCCAAACAGTCTGTCCAGAGCCCTGGCCTGAACCACCCGGTGGCTGCCCGCTGCCCTCTGCTCACCTTCACTGTCACTGGAGTCCCGCAGCAGTCACGCCGGCTCCGCTCTGGTTTTCGTGGGAGCACAGCAGCAGCCCCCACCCAGATTGAGAAGCAGAACTGAGCAAGGCGCAGGAGCCCTCGCAGCCCCTCCCAGTCCCTGCCGAGGGGCAGCGCTTTCCAGACTTCCAAAGCCAAAGGGGGCTTTGCCGCTTGGGACTCGATCTGCAGCGCATCACACGGCACAGACTCCCCTCGCGTCCGGGCACTGCCTTCCCATCCTCCCCACTGCTCCTCACCATCTTCTCTGAGTGCAGCTGGGAGGGCCTTGGGTCCGGAGCAGCCCCTCCTGAGCCCCGTGGCCAGTCGGTGCAGGCTCGGGAGGTGGGAGGCGTTGGGGTCCAGGTCTCACCCTCTGTGAGGCTGAGATGGGCTCTGTGCTCTTTCCGATGCTGCCCCCACCCCCTTGAATATAGGAAGTCTCTGAGCCAGGGCGGCCCCTCCCCTGTGCTCCTGTCTGCCTGCCTGTCTGACCACACACCCGTCCCTTCTTCCCAGGTTAGGCCAAAGACTCTGATTCCAGACAGCCTCCCCGTTGCCCCAGGCCGGGACCGGCCACCCAAGCAGCCCCCAACATTCCAGAAGGCCACTGTGGTCAGCGTCAAGAACCCCAGCCCAGCCCTCCCCACCGCCAACAACACTGTCAGCCATGTGCCAGTGCCCGGCAACCAGCCCCAGGCCCTTGCCGAGCCCGCCGCCCTTGCCTCTCCGCTGAGCAGTGCCGGGGTGGCCTACGCCATCATCTCCACCTCCCCCAGCAATGCCGCCGCCATGGCCCCCAGCACCGCCGTGTCTGTGGTCAGCGACAGCATCAAAGTCCAGCCCCTCCTCATCAGTGCTGACAACAAGGTAAGTGCCCACCAGCAGGCTCCGGAAAGGGTGTGTGGCCGCATACAGGAGGGAAGTCTTATGGGAAGGACCAAATGAACAAGCCCAGGCAGAATGAATGACCAGAAGGCAGAATGATCAGGAGGCCAAATGAATGGGGCAGAAACAGAGGAGTGAATGAATGAATGGAGTGTGAACACATGGTTAAGGGAATGAATCAGTGCCTGAACAAATGAATGAATATGCGATCCAGAGACAATGTGGCTGAATGAATTAATACCAGTGGAAAAGGAGTGATTGGTCAATGAACGAATTCATTCAAATGATTAACCAATTAATGACGTGTGGCTGAATGAGTGACTGGAAGCGATATCGATTCTCCGTCTCTGCTGGTGGAGTTGGACGGTCAAGGGCTGTTTTAACCCCACTGCCCAAGTGTACAATCTCCCATGATTTTTGCCAAGTTTTAAAACTAAAACTAAGGTCCTCCCGCTGCTCCCCTCTGAGCGTCTGGTGGTTATGCTGTTTGAGGCCTTCGGGGCTGCCTCATCCCTGCCGTCCCCTGTCTGTGGCCTCTCTCTCTGTTCCCCATTTGGGGTCTTCCAGGCCGCCCCTCTCTTGCTTCTGGCTGGGGTGCCCTCTGCTTCCCCGGCCTGGATGACGGCCGACCCTCACGTGACCTGGTGCTGTTGCACCCAGTGCATTCCCGGGAGTCCCGTGCTTCCAGGCTCTCCCACCCACTGAGGGCCCCTCAGAGAATTTGCAGTCTGAAGAGTTGTCATGGGCCATGGCGGGATGGCAGGTGTATCCCAGGAGGGCACCTGATCCAGACAGGGTGCTTGGCAGATGTCGGAAGGAGCGTGTCTGTTTCACTGCAACTGCACCAGCATTTGATGTTGGCCATTTAAACACTTCTATGTCCATTTACTAGGCACACACAAATGCCTCGTTGTTGAAAGTTGAATTCCCTTGGTTACTGTTAAGCTTGAATGTTTTTCTTACACTTCAGAATTCTATCTTCTCATGGGTGACTTGAGAATGTCCTTTTTCCTATTGGAGATCTTAATGTTTTTCTTCCCATGAATATAAAAAGGGACATTTTTTTTTCCATACAGAGATTTGGGGGGTTTAAAAATGTGATACAAAGAGGAAGACAGCGCTTCCCTTAAGCCAGCAGAAAAATGGGACATACTTTCTCTTTGTGCTCAGAAGCCTCAAATTCATCAGACAGTCACCACCTGTGCTTAGGGGAAAACAAACCAAAAAAACACCCAAGTTCAAGTCATTCCTAGTTTAAACCAGACTGTGACTGATGGATCCTGGAGAATTCCTCTTCTTGGAGCCATGAAAACTAGCAATTCTTTCCCAATTTCCTATCTAAAAAAATAAAATGATGGAGCTAGAGATGCAGCGGATCCTGGCCTAGGGAGAGGCTGGCCCGGATGGGTGGATTTCAAGCTGATTTTCAGCATCACACCCTTTCATCAAACCTGAGCATCCCCTGAGCCCCGAGGAAGGCTGACTAAGGGGGGCTGGCGCAGGGTAGCATCTGAAGACCCCCTTCCCCTTCCCCATCCACCACATGAGGGGCCTCGTGGCAGTGAAAAAACTAGAACGTTATTCCCACCTGTGTCCCCAAGCCAGGCTTGTGTGTCTCAGGCACTGTGGCATGGGGAGGGTGAAACGGAGCCAGACCGACCTGAGGGGTTCCCAGCCCCTCTGCCTCCCGACTAGATGGCCTCAGGCCAGGAGCAAGTCTGAGCTCTCGTGGCCTCGGTTCATCTGCACCTGAGATGGGATGAGAAGTCCTCGCTGCCGGAGTGTGCGCGGCCTCCCTGGGGAGAGGTGTGGCTGGTTTTCACTGATGATCAACCTGACGCTCAGAAGCAGTGACTCCCCTGAGGCCACACAGCTGGGACGCGGTGGGGCAGGACTGGAACCCAGGCCTTCCCGGTTCCTAAACCAGGCCGGCTTCTCATGCAGACCCTCCCCATGGTGGAAAAGGTGTGTCAGGAGGGGCAGGTGCTGGACACACAGGGGTGCAAACCACTCAGTTCCCGAGGATCCTCCCTCCTAGGATGGCCTGGCCCAGGCTCTGTGCTCCCCAACCCCTGCCCTGTGCCCTACCAGCTACCTCCCCAGCCCCCTTCACTCTTCCATTCCTCCCCGTGCCCCTCACCCTCACTCTCCAGCCTCCTCCACCCCTCCTCTCTTCCCCTCACCCCTCCCTCCCCATCACTGTCCCCTCTGCCTCTCCTCTCTCTCCCTCACCCCTCCCTCCCCATCACTGTCCCCTTCACCCCTCCATGGCTTCTTCCAGGTCATCATCATTCAGCCTCAAGTGCAGACGCAGCCCGAGAGCACGGCAGAGTCGCGGCCGCCCACAGAGGAGCCATCTCAGGGAGCTCAGGCCACCAAAAAGAAGAAGGAAGACCGGCCCCCGACCCAGGAGAACCCCGAGGTAGGACAGTCCTCTCCGGAGGGCCCAGGCCCTGCTCAGCCTGCAGGTGCCGTCTGAGGCCGCTGTGTGTAATGGGGATGGCCTCACTATGGGGTGGTGCCGACAAACCACGGGCACAGCTGCCCTGTGCAGTGGGCAACCAGGATGGGGCCTCACCCGGCAAGCCCGGGTGTCAACTGTTCTATCTCAGGGAGGCACTGACTGAACGGCAGTGTGGGGCGGTAGTTAGCACAAATTTTAGAACCATTCTGCGTGGGTCCTGCACTGCCGGTTTCCAAAGGTGTGACCGTGAGCAGCTCGTGTCTGTTTGCTCGTCCGTACGGCGGGAATGGCAGGGCCTCCTTCCTCGCAGGGCTGCTGAGAGGACTCTGCGAGTTCACATTTGCTGAGCCCCTGGACAGCACCTGGTGGGGACTTTTGGTCATTACACCCCCTCCCAGGGGCCCCGGCTGTGGGCCCCTCCGTCCTGAGTCCAGGAGGGAAAGGGGCTCCTCTGGGCAGCACATAGCCCCGAAGCGGTGCCTGCCTCTTCTCTGCCGTGGCCAGTTCTTGGTGTATGCAGGACCCTGGGCACTGTAGAAGTAGCTGTGCCCCAGGCTGGCATGAGAGATGCAGATGTCTCTGGAAGGTACCTGGAGAACTTGCCAGAAATTGCCTGTATCTCCACCTCCCACACACACCCTCTGAAGGAGGCCAGATAAATAAGCTCATATTGAACCATCCAAATACATAGTGGACGCGCAACCCCTGCACTGATGGTGGCACGGGGACAGCAGCTGACTCAGGGCCGTCCTTTGCTGAACTGGTGGTGGCAGCAGGTGTACTGCAGCTTGGTCCTCGACATCCTAGGCCAGCACCAGCCCCGCATCCTCCACTCTGGGTCTTTTCCCTTCAACCCTTCCCGCCCAGGTTCCTTTTCTTTTCTTCCTTTCTGTCTTTTTTTTTTTTTTTTTTGAGATAGAGTCTCACTCTTTGACTCATGCTGGAGTGCATTGGCAGCATCATAACTCACTGCGGCCTCAGCCTCCCAGGCTCAAGTGATCCTCCCACCTTAGTCTCCCAAGTAGCTGGGACCACAGGTGGGCACCACCACTCCTGGCGCTTTTTTTTTTTCTTTTTTTTTTTGAGATGGAATCTCAGCTCTGTTGCCCAGGCTGGAGTGCAATGCAGATCTCAGGGGCTCAGCAAGCTCTGCCTCCTGCGGTTGTATGCCTATTCTGCCTGCCTCAGCCTGCCAAGTAGCTGGGACTACAGGTGCGCTGCGCACCGTTCCGCCCGGCTAGTTTTTTGTATTTTTCTTAGTAGAGACGGGGTTCACCATGTTGTAGAGATGTTCTCGATCTCCGTGTGTGATCGCCTGTTCGGCCTTCCCAAAGTTGCTGGGATTACAGGCTGAGCCACCGTGCCCAGCCCGTGGCTAATTTTTAAATGTTTTGTAGAGACAGGCGGTGGTATTGAGTCCTTTTCGATTGCTGCGTGATAAAGACATACGCGCAAGACCTGGAGCAACTTACAAAAGGAAAAAGGTTTTAATGGAAGAACTCACAGTTCCACGTGGGCTGGGGGAACCCCTCACACATGGCAGAAGACAAGGAGGGAGCAGAGCTCACCATGCTTACGATGGATGGGCAGTAGGCAAAAAGAGGAGTGTGTGTAGGGAAGCTCCGGTTTTTGTAAACACATCAGATCTTGTGAGGACTGAATTTGGCACTACTCACAAAGAACAGGCATGGGGAAGGACCCGCCCATGATTCAGTTACTTCCCACCAGGTCCCTCCTACAACATGTGAAGATTCCGGATGAATTTGCGGTGGGGACACAGCCAAATCCCCCATATCATTTTGCCCTGGCTCCTCCCACATCTAGTGTCTTTGTATTTCCAAACCAGTCATGGCCGCGGCGCGGTGGCGTCACGCCTGTCCCAGCACTTTCGGAGCGAGCGGCGCGGATCACGAGGTCAAGACGAGACCATGGCTTGACTAATCACAGTGAAAACCCGGTTCCTCTACTAAAAATGGAAAAAAATTATGGGCGATATGGCAGCGGTGCGCGCGTGTAGTCCCAGCCTACTCGGGAGCTGAGGCAGGAGAAGGCTGAACCCGGAGGCGGAGCTTGGCAGGTGAGCCGAGGATCGCGCCACTGCACTCCGAGCCTGGGGTGAGCGCAGAGCGAGACCTCGTTCTCAAAAAAAAAAAAAAAAAAAACCAATCATGCCTTCCCAACAGTCCCTCAAAGTCTTAACTCATTTCAACATTAACCTCAAAAGTCCATAATCCAAAGTCTCATCTAAGACAAGACAAGTCCCTTCTACCTATGAGCCTGTAAAATCAAAAGCAAGTTAGTTACTTCCTAGATACAATGAGGGTACAGACACTGGGTAAATACAGCCATTCCAAATGGGAGAAACTGGTGAAAACAAAGGGGCTACAGGCCCCATGAGAGTCCGAAATCTGGTGGGCCAGTTCAACCTTAAAGCTCCAAAATTATCTCCTTTGACTCCATGTCTCACATCCAGGTCATGCTGATTCAAGAGGTGGGCTCCCACAGCCTTGAACAGCTTTGCTGCTGTGGCTTTGCAAGGTACAGCCTCCCTCCTGGCTGCTTTCACTGGCTAGCTTTGAGTGTCTGCAGCTTTTCTAGGTGCATAGTACAAGCTGTTGGTGGATCTACCATTCTGGTGTCCAGAGGACGGTGGCACTCTTCTCACAGCTCCACTAGCCAGTGCCCCGGTAGAGACTCTGTGTAGGGGCTCCAACTCCCCATTTCCCTTCTGCACTGCCCTAGCAGAGATTGTCCATGAGGGCTCTGCCCCTGCAGCAAACTTCTACCTGGACATCCAAGCATTTCCATACATCCCGTGAAATCTAGGCCGAGGTTCCTAAACCTCAATTCTTGACTTCTGTGCACCCGCAGGCTCAACACCATGTGAAAGCTGCCGAGGCTTGGGCTTCCACCCTCTGAAGCAACAGACTGAGGGGTACCTTGGCCCCTTTTAGTCATGGCTGGAGTGGCTGGGACGAAGGGCACCAAGTCCCTAGACTGCACACAGCAGAGGGACCCTGGGCCCAGCCTAAGAAACCATTTTTTCCTCCTAAACTTCTAGATCTGTGATGGGAGGGGCTGCTGCAAAGGTCTCTGACATGCCCTGGAGACATTTTCCCCACCGTCTTGGTGATTAACATTCGGCTCCTCATTACTTATGCAGATTTCTGCAGCCAGCTTGAATTTCTCCTCAGAAAATGGGATTTTCTTTTCTATCGCGTTGTCAGGCTGCACATTTTCTGAACTTTTATGCTCTGTTTCCCCTTTTAAAACTGAATGCCTTTAATAGCACCCAAGTCACCTCTTGAATGCTTTGCTGCTTAGAAGTTTTTTCTGCCAGATACCCTAAATCATCTCTCTCAAGTTCAAAGTTCCATAGGGCTCTAGGGCAGAGGCAAAATGACACCAGTCTCTTTGCTAAAACGTAACAAGAGTCATCTTTGCTCCAGTTCCCAACAAGTTCCTCGTCTCCATCTGAGACCACCTCAGCCTGACCTTATTGTTCATCTCACTATCAGCATTTTTCTCAAAGCCATTTAACAAATCTCTAGGAAGTTCTGAACTTTTCCACATTTTTCTTTCTTCTTCTGAGCCCTCCAAACTGTTTCAACGTCTGCCTATTCCCCAGTTCCAAAGTCACTTCCACATTTGGGGGGGTCTTTTCAGCAACATCCCACTCTACTGGTACCAGTTTACTATATTAGTCCGTTATCACGCTGCTGGTAAAGACATACCTGAGACTGGACAGTTCACAAAGGAAAGAGGTTTAATGGAGAACTCACAGTTCCACATGGCTGGGGAAGCCTCACAATCATGGCAGAAGGAAAGAAGGAGCAAGTCACATCTTACATGAATGGTGACAAGCAAAGAGAGAGCTTGTGCAGGGAAACTCCCATTTTTAGACCCATCAGATCTCGTGATACTTATTCACTATCACGAGAACAGCACAGGAAAGACCTGCCCCATGATTTAATTACCTCTCACCAGGTCCCTCCCACAATACATGAGAATTCAAGATGAGATTTGGATGGGGACACAGCCAAACCATATCACAGGGTCTCTCCATGTTGCCCAGGCTGGTCTTCAGCTCCTGGCCTCAAGCCTCAAGTGATCCTCCTGCCTCAGCCTCCTAAAGTACTGGGATAACAAGTGTAAGCCACCAAGCTCAGACTCGGTTCCCTTTTCCCTCCCTGCTGTGCCCTTCATTCCACAAGATTGAGATGGGACATGTTGGCCCCCAGGAGTGGTTTCTGTCCACCCTATCCCCACCTGCGGCACCCTGCCCCAGACCCCCTGCGCCCCTGCAGCTCCCAACGATTCTTCCCATCAATGTACTGTCATTACCAAAGGAAACCCGCTGTGCATCCCTTCACTTTTTCCTTTAGTTGTTCAACACGCCTTCGAGTTTGCTCCCTGCCAGGCTCCGTGCCAAAGGCTAGGGACGTCAGAATGCTGGCAGCCGTGGTCCTTGCCCTTGGGAAACTCGCTTCCATGGGTAAAGACAGATGGCTACCAAGGACTCTAATGGGTTCAAAAACGCATGTGTCATGAGAGAATTCTAAATGAAGTGCTACAGGAGATGAGGGCAGAGGGAGAGAGCTGTTTCCTCCTGGAAGGACCGAGGAAGGCTTTGGAGAGAAGGTACATGGTCTGCAGGGGTAGAAGAGTTGCCAGGATCCAGCAGAGAACAGGAGGCAGAGGGATAGCTCACCAGCCGGAGGGTACTGCATAGGCAGTAGCACAGGAGTGGGAAGGGACTCCACACACCCAGACTAGTCAGCTGGGCTTTCGGACTGCAGTAGGGGGTGACGACAGACGTTGGAACTTGGTCCTGGAGGGCCTGAATGCAGGCTGCCAAAGTGGAGCTTTGTTCTTAGGTAATGGGGAGCCATGGAATATCTTTGAGCAGAAGAATGACTTGATTATTGTCCTTCGACATGTCTAAAAAGCCAGTGAAG